TGAAGGAAGAACAGCTGGAGAATTTAGGATCCTCCCATATTTTAATTCATGGTGATGTCATAATTTAGAGTTCTTGGAAACTTTGTCAATTCGGCATTTAAACCACATCAATAACAGTCATTAAATTTAGTGCACATCTCTGTTTGCTTAAGCATCAATTTAACTTCTATGAAGGGGAACACACAGAGCTCTCAGTTGTAAGAAGTCATAAGCTTTCTCAGAACTTTTCAAATTGCCTTAAAATATACTTCTGGAGTTTAAAATAGTTTCTAAACATACTATCTCATGTGCACTGAAGTTTAAGCACTGTCTCTGCAAGCTCTACAATACATTGGAAAAAAGACTGCTCTGCCATTAAGTGTTCCACAGTGCAGATTTGCAGGGGCTCCTTTAGGGTTATGAAACAGCATTTCACTTCCATGTTAAAGAAGTTTGGTTTGGGAGGGCCTTCTAAGTTTTGAAGATGAGGCATTTTACAAGATTTTATAATGAAAAGGTAAGACTAGCCAAAGAAGGCTTAAGTTGAAGTATATTTCAGATTGCTTAAGCCTTTGACTGTTATGCAAGTGTATTTCATAACCTTATTTGAAGGACCAAAGAACAGTTTTAATACTAACAATGGGCTCAGTCTGACAGCTAATGCTAACCCGAGTGTGCATCATGCCCTCCTTCGACACTCCAATTTATGTAACTCCACACTACTGTGGGTTTAAAAATAAACCACACAGGAAAACAAGGTTTAGACAGACAAAAAGAGTAAGATCACATAGCTTGTTCTCCTTGATTAGCATCTGCTAGTTATGGAGACAATATCACCCCAGAAATCATATTAAAGATCTTCTTACTTCTACTGGCAGCCCCCAGAGAAAGCTATGAGGACAAATACGCAGGATTCCTGAAAAAGTGTTCTTGGCTTGATTTCTTGCGAAATCTTTTTTGCCTTTTCTCCCAGCCTTCAAAAGGAACAATTTGCCTCCAAGGCAATTCAAACAACATTTCCAGCAGGGGTTTTAAGTATTTTTTCCAGAAATGTGCAAGTTTGCTATTGTAACCATCATTAAAACAGCATCTTAAAGCTGCTAACATGCTGGCAGAAGACTACGGGAGGAAGGCTGAGAGTCATTCATTAACAGTAACAACCTTTAAGCAGATTGAGAGGTTATGCTTGCAGAGGATTTCATATCCAGGGCTACAGAAAAGGGCATGAGACTTGAAACTCTGGATTCCAGGAAGATATAGTCGATTTACAACTATTTGTTAATAATTTTAATACCTACCATTCCTGTTGAACAGAACAGTAAGTTAAAAACAAGAAACCACCACAAAGTAGCGAGCTTGCAAATGAAAGACAGCAAGTACAAAACTCAAGGAGACAAGAGTTAAGCAACAGCAGTTAATTCCCCAAAATTAACTGACAAAAAGGGCAGCAGAAAGGAGCTTATGGTTACCCAGAAGTGTGCGTGACAGTTAACCATCATGGTCCTCTCAATAAGCTCATCAGGACACTCCAGAAGATGGTGCCCGGAGACCACACCGGCATTGTTAACCAGGACAGACACCTCGCCAACCTCCTTGCGGACCCTCTCAGCTGTTGAGTAGACGTTTTCTCTTTTGCCCACATCACAGGTGTACGTGTAAACCTGCAAGTTGCAATGGAGCAGCGCATCTTTTTCTCCATCTCCAGGTACTAAGGAATACAGACAAGAGAACAAGGGGGGGGTGGGGAAATAAAGTTCTTACTTGTATTTTGACATTCAAACAAGTAGCCGAGTGGAAACAGCAAACGTATTTGCATTACAGTAAAACTTCTATTTACTTTGGTGTCACCACAGTACACAAGGACTCGTCTATTTACTATTGCTGCCAAAGTGTTTAAAAAAAAAACCTGCCGGTTTTAAAGCCGCTGTTGGAGTCCAAGGCCACACGAAGCAGGTCTCTCTGCTCAGAGCCAACGTGGAGCCCGGGCACTGACGGGGGCTTCAAGCCCCCGCACCCGGCGGGCTCCAGCCC